TACGTATAAATAAATAAAGTGTTGACACGTTCCAAGTGTTCCAAGTGTGGACGCGTGCGGCGGCGTGCTGATACAACAAGACGCCGCCGCACGCGTGTGTGTGTGTGTGTGTGTGTATACCCAATCTGTAGGGTGTTCACACGATGCGTAATTAATTACATAACTTTTGGTTAACTTTACTTAGAAGTTTATTAATATTTATGTTATATTAATTTTTATTTTGTCATATATGATCGTCAAATATCACGTCCTCAAGTATCGATAGTAATTCACCAGTCACCCTGTATACTACTACTAGCATTTTACTCATCAGTGATTAGAATTCAAACCAGTTAGCTTAAACATAAATAAATGCTCGTCACAGATAGTATTTGAATTAGTCCATTACATATATTACAAATGAATAAAAATTTAAAATTTCATTTTATTTCATTAATTTTTTAATGCATTTATTTTGATTTAATTCTTTTAACAGTTTGATAATTCTAATAATAATAAAATACTAATGGTTTTATGATGCAATTGCACAATTTTAGTTTCTAAGTGTAAAAAAAAAATAAACGTCATGTGTCAACAAATTCGCAAACGTCACAAATGACGTATCGTTTATTTATAATTTTTTCTCTCCTATCGAGACTAATATCTCTGCATTCTTATTTGAATATACAAATATTCGATGTGAATAACCTTAAAGATAGAAAACAAAATAAAACTTTCTACTTCAAATATATCAACCTACTTAATAAATAGTATACAGACTTATAATTTTATTAATCATATTACAGATTATAAATATAATATTTTCAATAATTTTTACATCTTTTTTTTGTCAATATTATTATATAGCAAAGGTACTTATTTAAATTCGTTTAACTGCACAACAACAGTAAAATATATAATTAAGTTTATTAGACAGAATTTATTTAAAAAAAAGCCACTTAGCTGATAATTTCAAATTTATATTTAAAAATATACCAAAAAGGTAATTTGTCTCCATGTTTTTTTGTAACGAGAATTTATAGACTAAAAATCAAAATAATTAAGTAATGTAATTTTGAGATACATCAAATAGAATTACTATCGTAAAAATAAATATTTCATTTAAAACTCCTTTAAATTGATATTTTCAATACTATATAAAGATTTTTATTAATAATTATTAAACTCATAAACGAATACATGTATTGTCACAAACATTTTGACATCAAAATTAACCTTAAAATAATTCGACCTTCTATCCTTCAACCTTCTGACCTGTGCAGAAACAAAATTAAGTTAAACTTCCTTTATAATAATATTGATATAGTATACAAATAACATTGACAAATTCAGGCATGTCCTTTAAAATAGAGTGTGAATTACCAACACGTCATTTTGACACATACGTAATATAAACATCCATTATTTGTAATAAAAATAAATTTAATATAACATTGATGTAATATTAACCGAACTTTTACCGGTTTTTCAAACAAAATGCATTTTTTTTATCATCCAAAAATAAACCGGGAAGTTCAACAACCAAGTAACATCAAGCTCATACTTGTTTTGGTGTAACGGAAAATTTAATGCTATAATTTTTTTATGTTTCAAAACGATTATAATCGATGTTGTTCTTAAAAAATCGGTATTCATAAATCGTTTAGGCAAGATAGTTAAAAAAAATAGTGATTTTTTTTGTTTATTTTGTAAACATAATAAATATATTAGATAACAATTTAATCTCTTAATCATATGAATAATGTTTCACGACAGGTAATCTAAAGTAACTAGCATCATAGAATACATTTATTAACATTATTAATAAAACATACTAACTTTATATATAAATATAAACAATCAATTGACACATTATCATATACGATCGGTTTGTTTGCACAGATTATAAATCGATATTCTATTTGTCTTAATTATCTATGCCTTTTCTAAACTAACATTAGAATACAGACGCATTTTCTAAAAACCTGTTTATTTTTTTAAACATATTATTATGTTAATCTTTCTACTTTCTAAGCACTAAATACCGATCCTATGTGAACTATAATTAATTATATCAAAACATATGTGTGCAAATGCGATTAATTTGAACGCTTGACCGATTTTTACTGTATGAAATGCAAAAATAATACCGCCTAGAGCGATACGACGCAAAAAAGTATCATTAATTTAAAAAGGGAACCAGATTTGTTTATTTTTTTTTAAATTTGTTTATTGTCTGTAGCCAGTTACAGGTGCAATTTTTTTTTTTGGTTGAAGTAGGCGATGATTTAAATTTATCAGACGAACACATTATTCCTACTAATCTATTGTTTTTTTATAAACATTGTTTATGTCAATAGTTTAAACCTTCATTACGTAATTATAGGGCCTTAACAAAACAAACTCTTATTAGCCGTAACTAAATAAAACATATTTAAATAATCCGGAACTAAATTACTTTCTGTGACAAATGTAATTTTAATATTTTTCTTCGCTTCCCTTTGTTTTTTTTTAATCTTATTTATTTAGCTATTTTCTTATTTATATCTCATTTATGCCTTTAATTATATATGACCTCCATCATCTGTGTAATGAATGATGGGATGAAAATATAAATAAAAAAAAATACTTATTTAATATTGTCTCAATCGCGAATTAACTTGAATCCCGGAAATAACGTAGTGATGAATCCCACTAATTGCCGGGATCCATAGCTTAAGTGCAATCCCTAGTTATGTAATATTTTTGTTTCTATATATATTAAGGTATAAAAGACACATATATATAAAAATGAATTGCTGTTCCTTGGTCTCACTAAAACTCGAGAACGACTGAACGGATTTATCTTATCATAGTCTTGAAATGTTCGTGGAGGTTCAGGGAAAGTTTAAAAGCTGAAAATTTTTATTAATTTCCGGCAAAACCCTAAAAACAGCGCTTTCTTATTTCCCATACAAACGGTTTTTTGACATTAGATTTGGCAACTAACTAATATGTCAATCATTTTGTCGCACTTCAGAACAAGGAGATTTATGGCTTAAAGGTAAACACCAAAAAAATAAATAAGACATAATTTATTTCTTGATTGAGGCAGTACGAAGTCTGCCGGGTCAGCTAGTCTATATATATATTGATATAGATTCTCATAGCTATCGTTATTTACCTCAAATAAAGTCTTATGTTTGAAGAATATTCATTTATATTTAATTCTAATTAATTTGTATATAAAATACTTAAAGCAAAATACAATTGCTTCATTTTATTATTATATACCTGGAAAAATCACTATGTTATATGTCGCTCAAGGTAACATAAGATTAATTATCATAAAATAAGCCGGTATTGTAAACATATAGAAACGATATACGTAATTATATAAGATATAGTATATAATAGAATTAAATTGACAGATACTTTAAAATATGATATCCTAAGAAACAGATAAAAGAAAAGTTTTTTTTTTAATTTAGTGTAAAAATAAGTTATTATATAGTTACGAGGGTCTTAAAATGTTTGCGCCATTATCTAAAAGATTATAATTATGGTCGGATGTCCAGAGAATTGCATATTCCACCATACTTGAAAATAATTGTCAAAAATTACAGATAATAAATATTTTTTTATAATCTACATACATGTTATAGTCTGTCAAAATAAAAAAAAATAAGATTATATTGACATCTCATAAGAATTTAATTGTTCAAAACAATTTTTATATGTACATATATAGAATCATAGAGGAATTCTTGTACAATCTTATCGCAACAGAATTATGAATGAAAACCATTAAAAAAATTATGAATCAAATGAAATGTTCACATGACGTGTGTACATTGAATAGCGCCATTACTGTATACACGTAAATTGACTAAACTATCTGTCCGTGTACAAAAATGGCCAATTATTGGAACCCATAGTTGTTACAGATTAAATTAAAATGGCCGTTGATTGCTTATTAGTGGTCAAACGTATTCTCATTATCTACATTTGATTTGCTAACTACAACCTCTATGGTGGTTTTATTAAAACCTCTTGCAATTTTTCGAAATGAACAAAGTTTGTCTATGTTTAGTATGGAATGAAATATTGTCTATGGGCTTATAAAAGCAAAAACTTTCTATTAATCACTTCGTGCTTTCTGCAGGAGTTTTTTTAATCATATAATTTTTGATAACAATTTACAATAAAATTTTATTAATGCCGATTAATGTGGGTACAGTATGAGGAAAATCATATTTTTTTTATTAACATAGGCACGATACGGAAATGCGTCTTTATCAATATATTTTTTTATTTATTTATTTCCGTAGTCCAAGGGTGCTTATAATAATGACTATACTATACTAAGACCAATACAGGATTACACAAGTAAAGTAATAGTATAAATATAAACGTAACTTAAAACTAATATTTTTAATATTATACTAAACGACTTTATTTTTGTAAAAAACTACAACTCCCGACGTTTCGGCTACTTTTCAGCAATGATAAAGAGCAGACGAGGTGTGAGTCTATCAGACATGCAGTTTTTTACAAGATTAAAGTCTCCTAGTATAAACCGAAAGACATAAGATTCATTTAAAGGAAAAAAAGCTAAAATCTTAGATCTCATTGTTAAAACGTAACTTAGATACACAACAGTAACAATGTAACATAGATAAACAAACAACATGTTAGGTATTAATTAATAAACTGCTCGTAATCATTGCTGTAAAGTAACACGAACGTCGATAGTATGTATGTAGTTTTTATCAAAAATAAAGTTACGTAGTATATCCTCAACTCGCGAAAATCTCAGTCTCATTATACTACGGAGCAGCACAAGCATCCTAAATACGATATGTAATAGACTAGATTGTATATATGTTAATTGAGCCATCTCTAGTGGGATGGTGAAGCAATAATAAATACTAACGTAGTTTTTAAGTTTTAAGAGTCTAGTGTTGCTTGAATTTTAAATTAAATAAAATAAATTATTGTATATTCCTTCCACAGTAACGATTCCTCTGCTGAGCTTCGGTATGGTACAAGGCTGGTTGTCTCCTATGATCTCGGTGCTGCAGTCACCTTCGGGACCAGCACCAGTTCCTTACACTAGTTCAGATATTTCTTGGATGACGTCCGTAACTTACATCACAGCTATAATTTTCGGAGCTCCGATGGGCTATCTCACTGACAGATATGGAAGAAAAATCATGGCTTTGATCACTACATTGTCTTTAATCGTGAGTATTTTTCATGTTTTATATGGAATTATAACATAAATATTATTATATATAAGCTTGATAGATTTCGTTAATGTTTGTTCAATAATACGAATTTAAAATGACCAAAGAATAACTTAAATGCTGTCGAAATGAAATAATATTATGGTCAAAAATGCATTAATTTGGTATATTTTAAAGTTGATCAAAGTAGAGATTAAAACAAAATATTAATTTATATATTAAAATTTTAATTAAATGTGATATTGATAGGTATCATCCAACACAACAATGTGCTTACTGCTTAGAACTAGCTTTCATTGTCATACTACATACGTAATTACGCAGCCTTTCCCGTTTTTCATTGAATAACGTGCGTTATGGAAAAAAAATATCGTATGATACAAATGTTATAGGCATCTGTCAAGTTTCATCCTTATCTATCAACAATCAAACAAATATAAAACCTCTTTTGAATATTGTGTTTTTTTCGTAGTTTTTTTTTTATAGGAATGGCGTTTTGGTAACAAAAACAATTTGACTGAAAAAAACTATGATCGATCACTATTAAACAATTAGGACGTCAAATAAGAAATATACTATGAGACTTGTATTAAAAGATTTTTTTTATTATTACACTCGATATGATATTTAAAATATTATTTTTTTGGATATTAAATATATTTTTGACACAACCTATTTAGAAAACCTTCATATTAGTGTCAGTTTATAAAAGGAATGTGTATATAGAATCTAAGTAGCTTATCTTTAAAAAAAAGCGGGAAAAAGATGCTTGTAATTTTTATTTACATCTACATGTATTTTTCTCAATAATTCAAGGCCAATCCATTTCATACCCGACCATGCTTTACAACATAAATATACAACAATGTTGTAAAACTATATCGTAATATAATGTTATATAACACTTTAGCCAACACATAAAATCAAAACCGTGCTACGTTTCATTATAAAAACTCATAAAGTTACGATAGAAATACTTGAAAACGAAATATCGCGGCGAAAGAATGAATGAAACAATCTTCAATCGTATGAATTCATTAACATTGTTGTATGATTCAGAACTGATAATAAGTTTTTGAACGTATTAAAACGACATTTAATTGTAAAAAAAATATATGACGTATATATATATTTTGACGTTTAAAAACATAGATTAAAAAAAGTTAATAATTTTTTTAATTCAAATTTTTGATTTAAATAAAATAGTGCTCAGAACACATTTATGCATTGTGTGTCCTTCGATGAGCTTGTTTATAAACAAAAAATATTTTACACCAAAAATATTTTCTAAGTTATAAATATGTCGGAATAAGGAAGCGTAATTGAGACCTTGTGGTAGATAAGTTATGCATAATTATAAAAAATCATCACAACAGAGGCCACAAATCTATAAAATCAATTTTGATTTTTCCACACGTCATGAATGAATACGTTAATATCATTAAATTTATTAAAACTTTTAAAATTGGAATATTTTTTTTATACTTTTAAAGTTTACGTATTTTCCAGCCAGTTCTAGCAAAATCTAAATACATACTTAAGATATCCTCATCGTATACTTTTATGTTTTGCAGAAAAACCTCACCTTTTTGCAGAGTTAACAATAAAAAAGGTTCCGCTCTCATTCTATTATCTGTATTGTTTATATTTTTTTTCACATTAAATAGACTCGCGTTTAAAAAGTAGATTAACGTTCTTTACAATTTGTTTAATGTCAACTTCCTTCCTATGTCTTTATTTATTGGCCAATTTCCGCAACTTTATATCTAAGTTCTAACAATGTTAATCAAATATAACAAAACAATTATTACATGAAATTCTTTACTATAAAAATCATTAAATAATATTTGGTTAATAATGTGACATACATTTGGACCTTCTTTTTTTTTGGGTCTGTTATTTTGCCATTTTCTACATTCTTGCCATTATTCACACAAATCAAATATTATTTTGTAAATTAATTTGAAATCATCCACTACCAAACAGAATGTTCGCCATTACAAAAAACTTAGTTTTAATTAAAGCAAAAACGTTACACATCTTTCAAGTTCCATCCAACCTTTATTGAAACAGGTTTGAAAAACAAAAAAACATTACGGTTCCTCGCATATAAAAAACTACACAAAAACAACATTCATATACTGTAACCGTCGAGTTAAATTTATTTTCATATCTATGTTCCGACGAAACCAAGCTAAACCAAGCTATTTAAACCAAGCACCGTTTTCCAGCTCTACTGGCAAATCAAGCTGCTGTGCATTCGTCCTTGGGCGTTGATCCTAGCGCGTGCTATAGCCGGCATACCATGCTCAGCTTGCTACATAGTGCTGCCGATATATTTGAAGGAAATAAGCGACATCGATCTAAGAGGTGCGCTTGGTTCGTTGCTGATTTTAAACAGGTAATTATGGTTTATATATTGGGTTGCTTAACGTAACGTAAATAAATTTATCCTTAAATATTTATTACGTCCGTATAAGTGAAGTTTTATTAAAGAAAATGCCCTCGGGGTCAAAGGCTATGATGCTTCTTCAATTGGTACTACGAGTTTAAATTGGCAACTCATTATAATCAATGTTTTTAATTCCTGAAGTGACGTCATAAAAACAATGAAAATGTCTGTTTCTAAGTATTATAAAATCCTTGCAGTAGGTAGCAGTTCGAAGTATATTATTATGTTTCATACGAAATAATATATAATTTAATTTAATTCATATTTCAAAATTCGACCTTTCGTATACATTTGAATATTGTTACATTTAAAAGCAACGTCATTTAAATATTGTTTGTTTGCTAAGAATAATGTCTTTTTTATTCTGTGCCACAAATGCGCAGATATAAAAAAATCTTAATAATCTGTATAATGTATGTACGCACAAAAAGTTTTTATATAAAATTTTTGTTTTAGATAATATATACATATATATTTAATTCAAATTATGAACTTTTATTATTATATAGTATGTGAAAGTTGCTAGGAATGTATTAGGTGCGATGAAGAATTTTGACGCCACGAGTTTCACTGTTATAAATTTTATATAAAGCCTGATGCATACGACACGGTCAAAGAACAATCACGGATAAGAAAATGAGAATTGTATTTTTATTTTCAGTTCCTTAAGTAATATTAAATAAAAACTAGGTTCGTGTAAAAAACGATGCATAGAAAATGAGTTAATTTTAAATGTAACTAAATAACGATTACCGGGAATTACTTATAAATTGGTATATAAAGGAATAAATATGTAGCTGCTGACACAAAAAAAATAAATTAAATCTATTATTCGTAGACAATTTTCTTTAAATAGCATCGTTAATAATATTTTTTCGTATTTTCTTATATACGTTATAGTATCAAGAACATAATTAATGCTATAGTGTAGACCGTACCTTATTTTTCTTTCAAAACAAAACAAGCAATTCTTTACGATAACATATTCAAAATAGATTCCTTCGTTGGTTAATTTTAATAGAAACTAAATCTATATTATGCAAAATGAACAGACGAATATTAACCCAGATTTTTTTATGAAATTTATCATGTTTATTTTTATTATTTAGCGACCTTGCTCCCATTCCTTCTTATATCTTAATATATATCAAAAAAAATCAAAGCACATAAAGTATAACTTTAAAAAAATATGTCAAATGTAATTTTACGTTTTAAATACTTTTCCGCTATCAATCAAATAACTTGATACTCTCAGAATATATTTTTAGAATACAAGTTTTAAATTTTAAAGACGAAAATCCTATTACTATATGTTTTTGACATAGAAAACGTTATTTAATAAGTTTTGAGAGTTAATATACAAAAAATACTAAGAACGTTTTCTTTCAATATTTTTTTCAACTATATATTTTAATCTATCCTTGGATTACAATAGTTAATATATTTATATACATATATGATAAAAAAAACTCTTTACAAAGTCAACGATTACATTTATATACATATATATCTTTGCTTGTTATTTTATCACTGCATTTTAAATATTCCTATTGTTTAATTGACGCGGAAACTACAAATTTAAATTTAATTCTAATTTACTCATTATACGGTAATTTAATTTCTGTTTTTTCAAACTTTATTGAATACAGCATAAAAAAACATCCCTTAAAAGGTCTTTACTCACTCATTCGTTCGGGAATATTAAAGTAAAAAAAATATATTATTATTTAAAATTAAAATATTGTTACTACATATTTAGATATATAAGTGTATTAAATTAAATGAGAAAATTGCTTAAAACTATAAAGAATTTATATTAGGCTAGTGTTTTATATATATTTTTGTTATTTTTCTAGGAATATTGGCTACCTAGCTAGTTATGTTTTTGCGGATTTACTCGCTGTCAACACGATGCTATGGATCGGTCTGTTGGTGCCTACTTTAGTATTATTTATATTTCTCGTGATGCCGGAGACACCAGAGTTTCTTGTCAAACAAGGAAAGATTGATGTAAGTACATAAACAATTATCTTGTAAGAAAATATATATACATTTTATTTTTTGTTAAAACATGTTTCTAACTCATCTGTCCGTGATCATTTTTGCAGAAAGGTAACTGAAACGTCGGGAGTACGTAGTTTTCTTAATAATAAAATACGTGTAGTAATCCAAATAACATTACTTTCATTGAAATGAATACTCGCGAAAGTATTAGATCTTATTGTTTATTACTCATTCGACTCTTAGATATCAATAATTATCATGATTTAAACATATATGGACTTAAAAACAAGAAAAATCTACTCTCCTATTTCACCTCTATTAATTAAGCTGTTATTCAATAGAAATGTGTTGTTTTTTTCAGGAAGCCAAAACAGTGTTAGCATGGCTTCGAGGTATAAGCGTCATGGATCGATCTCTTGAACAGGATATAGACAACATCGTGAATGTGGAAAAACAGACCCAGGCTGACAGCAAATCTGTTTGGGGAATTATTTGTAAGCACAAACTTATAACTAAAACCTAGTAAGACGAAACTTCTCATCATTCCAAGTATTCATATGCGTGTGTCGGGTCCATCGTTGTAGTGAGAGGAGCTTCAACAGTGACTGTGACTTGTGACCCAGGTGTAGGTTTAAGGGCTCCTATCTAACGCGTTAAACGCTCACCTCCACCGTCTAAGCTCCTCTCTCTACCTAACCAAATTTGAATCTATTAACATCAAACTTCACGTAATTTTGATTAATTTCTATTCTACCTTCAAAAATCGAGGACGAATAATAATAATATCACATTTATATGATATAGAATCCATAAAATTTAATTCAAAAATGTCAATACATAAAGGAAATTGATTTGAATATGTCCAATGGTGTTTGTAATAATTGGCACATTATACGCATGTTTTCTTGTAACAGAACACATCCTTATGTCCGTGCCAAAATGTTAGTCTAGCTATTTTGCATAGAATTTACATCATCATGCAAAATGTATAACATTTTAAGGACATATCACGAATGCCATATATTGTTAGTAACATTTAAAACTCAAAACATTATTTAGTAATACGATTTAAATCCGATTCATACTCACTCATACAACTAAATAATATTATCAAAATAAATAAGTATATAGAATCATAAATTATGTCATTTTAATAATTCCATATGAAAGAGTTTAGTATAATTCTTATGTCCTAATCAAAATATACTTAGTTTACATCTTTATTTTCAAAATCTATGTCACAAAAAGTATGTTCTTGAAATGTATAGTTTAATGGAAATCCATGAAAAATAACTTAATATATAGTTTGATGATGAATTTATAAGTAAAAAATTCGTCTATTTTTATATACATTCTGAAAAGTAACTTAGTCACTACTTCCACAAGACGAAGTTATAATACGTTTATAATTATTTTTAACAACATACTCCCGACGTTTCTGTTACTTTGCATTAATCGTGATCACGGACAGATGTGTTGTAAATCTCATATTTACAGTAATATTTGTGATTTTCTTTCAGTACGAGACAGAGCAGCGTTTAAAGCGTTCATAATAACCCTGGTTATTAAGATAACTCAACAATTCGATGGTTACCTCATAGTATTGATATACGCTGGCTTCGTGTTTGAGAGGGCGTCGGAATCCATCAGTCTTAAACTGAGTCCCAACAAGCAAGTCATGATGATAGGAGTAGTGCAACTATTGGGATCCATTGTAGCTACGTGCATAGTGGAAAAAACAGGGAGAAAGGTATGACGTCATCATATAAATTATACATACATATACATTATTATATATATAATAAAATTAATCGTAAAAAATTTAAAAAATTCCCAGCCCATGGAATTTTTTTTTTCTTAATACATAAATATGGGTACAATATACCATTCACTTTAAAAAGCCTTACACACCAGTTAATAAAATGAAGTTAAACTGATGACAAACCTTTTCATATATCTGACGGATTGATTTGCAAAAAAATACACTAAAATATAGTAATACCTACCAATTACACAACCTATGAGGCTGAATTTGCAGTAACTTCATTTATATCCGTCTCCGTATCTGATATTTGTACCTAACAACTTCTGTTCTTGTAGTAACTTCAACGATATTTGTACGCATCAGCTTCTGTTCTTATAGTAACTAAACTTCAATGACACTTGTACACAACAGCTTCTGTTCGTGTATTAACTTCAATAACATTTGAACCCAACAGCTTCTGTTAGTGGTGACGTCACTGGTGGTAGGTGCGGGCATGTTAGTACTCTCTGGTTGGTTCTATCTCACCAGTAATGGCACCTGGTTGCCAGGCTGGCTGCCCGTGGTTGCCATGTGTATGTGCATCTTCGCTGATGCAGCGGGCTTCCAACCGATATCATACATCATCATCACCGATCTATTTAGTTTCCAGGTATGTTCAATCTTTAGCTTTTATTCAAGTTCCCATATTATGTACTTTCTCAGAATATTTAGACACCACTGATAGACTGAAGGAAAACATCGTGAGGAAACCTGGACTTATAGTTTAACAATAATAAGTTTGAAATCACCAACCCGTCTTGAGCAAGCGTGGTGATTAATGCTCAAACCTTCTCCATGTGAGAAAAAGGCCTTTCAGTAGTGAGCTCTGATAGGCTGATGATATTATTATTACATTTAAAATCATCGCCATAGCCTTATGTTGTGAGTGATAAATTAAGTTATTTAACTTGTATTTAAACTATTTGACTGGTAGAAACAATTATATATGTAATAAATAACATATTTTAACAATAACATGTAAAATGAATAGGTATTAAGCTCAGGTTTCCTATATAAATATAGAAATGGTACGAACAAAGCCTTAATTCGTTATACCTTCCAGAAATGTTCAGGCTACTGTTCACATGCTTTAAATAAGTATTCTCAATAAAAGCATGCTTGTAAGCCGTTTACTTTTGCGGCCAATAAGCATGCATGCTTGTTTTAAGCAACACTTAGACATAGATGCAGCACATGTTCAATTATAGTATGCTTTCGTGCTTGAAATAAGCAATGTGTAACAGTAGCCTCAAGTTATATAAATTATTTCTCACTGAATTTTCCTTCATAAATAGTTAGGTTAAAGGCAAAGGCATTATAATATATGACATTCATACAATCTTGTAAAACTATAAGCACTTATATCACTCACAATATCTCAATACACATTTACAGCTCCGAGGAACGGTGTCGTCTTTCGCTAACATATGCGCTAAACTCAGCAACTTCGTACAAATGAAATGGTTCACTAAAATAGCAGAACTCATCAGCATACACTGGACCTTCTTATTCTTCGCCATAGTCTGTTTCGGTGCATCATTATACACTGTGATCGTCTTCCCGGAGACCAGGCATAAAACCGTCGAAGAAATATACGAAAAATTATCAAAGAAAGATAATAAAGACAAAATAAAGGCTGTGCCATAGATAAAGATTAAATATATATATAATAGCTTTTAATATCTGAGTACGATATTACGTCATATAATGATTTGTCATACAAATCAAGACTGTATTAGATATATTTGTAGTTATAAAGAATGTTAATATTGTTAATGTAAGTACCGATTAAAGAATATACTTGATTAATTGTATGAAGAAGGGAGTAATTTAAGTTTTTACCAATTAACAATACTTGTTCGACCCATACAAGTTGCTTACACTTCCCTATAAGAGCAATGTAATAAAACACACAAAGATAATATTAATTTTGTATATAATAGATATCAAATTAAGGAATTTCAAAATGTTATATAATATAGAAAAATTATAATAGAATTATGTTATGTGTATAAAATAATTAATTGTAATTTATCCTGTTAAATATAGGTTCAGAATATAGCTGTTTAAATTATATGTATACTTTGTTTTTTTTATAAATCCAATTTATAAATTATTCTATAGATAGCATAATAAAAAAAACAAAGATAAAATGCAAATTAAATGATTTTTTAATAGTTTAACCTTGAATAAAACCAGACAGAATTACATTAGTGTCAGTGATTACTATTATCTGTGCATTGTAATGTTGCCAATCGCCTTTAATATGTTTTTTTTGTAAATGTTTTTACGGCTCAGTATAGGAGTCCTTTTGAACCAAGTCTTCAATATGCTTAACATAAGTTAGCATCGTAACACTACATACAGTGTCCCTTAACTTATTCAATAGCCGGCTGTAATGTGACAAGATTTACAATTGAAAAACATATCTCATGTAGTAAGACGCTGCAAAGGTAAGCATACAGATGAATTTTAGCAAGTAAGAAGCAGAGTAAAGTAGACTTATTTCGAATTACATATCTTTAAACAAAATACATAATTGTATAATATTAAGGAACTCAAATACTTCTATATTTGAACTTATCAGATGTAGAAGCGGCGCGGCGTTGGGATGCATCGATGTTACTCAGAACTTTGACTTTAGTTTAAGATCTCCATACTCGTAAATTTCCTAAATTCAAGGAAAGAATCTTTATGTTGGCAATACTTTAACGGAAAAATAGTATCCTGTTGAATGCATCCTGCATCAGAGAAAGTCATTATCCATCTCTTTTTAAAATTTTGGTAAAAAGGGATTTCGTAATTTTTTTAAGAAGCAATACAAACTCATTTCACTATAATTCACTTCCAATTGTTGAAAATATTTTTAAACTCAATAAGCCGATGTTCAAATGTCTCATGAGCATACTAGTAGTTAGATATAGTAGTAGTAGACTAGATATATTTTTGTTTTCGCGAATTTTAAAGCGCGTCGTTATGATAGAGCTTACGGTTCCTTGGGAAACCAACATCCTCAAAGACCATACAATCAAGTTCAACAAATATTACGAGCTCACTAACGAACTCACTCGAAATAGGTTTGTCGTGGATTTATACGCGATAGAAGTTGGAGCGAGAGGTATAGCAGCGAAATCTCTCTGCAACCCACTAAAAGACTTGGGCTTGTCCAGAACTCACATTAATACATTCTTGGAACGCACTTCCAAGGCAGCCCTAGTAGGTTCATTTCAAATTTGGTTAGGTAGGGAGAGGGGCTTGGACAGTGGAGGTGAGCGTTTAACGCGCGTTAGATGGGCTCCCATAAACATACACCTGGGTCGCAAGTCCCAAGCACTGTTGAAGCTCCTTTCCCTGCAACGCGATGGACCCGGCAACCGCACGTAGAATCCATGGAATGCTGAGAGGTTTCGTCTCTATTCGAACAGCTAAAAGATATGAGTTTCATTGGTTATTTAGTATGACTTATTTCTGTCTTTAAACTCAAGTCAATTTTTGAGTAAATCTCTACAATTAACAAGTATTGATCTCACAATCAGTTGAAATGTTTAAAAACTTCTGCAACTTCTTACATACTTACTGGACATACGGGCTTTGAATGCGCTTTTTAGCTTGGAAGGAATTTCTCAATGAATTATAAATTAAACCTGAATTTAAAGATCCAAAAAGGATTCGAAGAGTTACACTTCAAACTGGTGAGTCACAAGCGATGACAGTATAACTTCCGCAGAAAAAACATTAATTTCAGACAAAAAGATAATCTATCAGTTAAATGAGTCATAGGAGTCTTGGTTTTTTAAGTAAAATTTTTAACAGATTCCAGCAACTTTTACAAACTTTGAAGTGATCGATAATTAAACTTAACTGTGGGTTTAGACCAGAAAATAGAAGTAACCAACTTCTATTTTTGTTTCAAATATCATTAAGATCCGCCGCCTCATGCATGCACTTCATGCAAGTAATATGTAACGAAAATGTTATTTTTTAGTTTTAGAATTGGGTGCAATAAAGAATAAATAAATAAATAAGATCGCAATTTACAAGAAATGTATGAAAGCACTAAAAATATACCTTGACTATACCTTTACGGATTCTAATAAAAGGAGGAGTTTTTCGAAGCTGAAGTTGATGAAAACCGATCTACGACCATCGATGTCTCAATCTAAATTGATAATCTTATCAAGTTTGTCATTTTAAAACGAAATTGATGAAATTTAAAAAGAAATTGATAAAATTGATTGACTTTGTTAACCATTTAAAAGATTTCACTAATAGAAAGGCCAGGAAAGTTATATTTTGTTATTTATAATTTCTTTTTTGTGTTTAAATTGAAGTTAGGGGCACTGTAAAAATCTCGCTTAAGACGATAGTAGTATTAAAACTGGCACCGATTAGATGTAGGTATACAATAAATTAATCATTACTAAATGAATTCAAGATAGCAAAAGATTTCAAAAAATAAATTGCTATTTTTCTTAGACAGGTAAGCAAAATTTTGCATACAATAGTTATATTAAAAGTTGAGTAAAATGACAAACAATAAATGGTTTAAATTAGTGCAATTAATCTATGACAGATTGTTTCAACACAATATATATGTATTAGATACCGTTTCTAATAGTAACTCCGGAGGTCTAAAAAAAGACCTTGGTGTTTTTGGATGCCCTGATACTGTGAAATACTTTAAAACATTTTATCTTATACTTTTGACATCCTTGCTAAAATGTCGAGAAAGATATATCTCTAGTTGGAGATTATGACAAAAAAATTTGGTCTTCTCTGGGCACGCAGCTGACGTCACAAAAGACTTTTCTTTTTTTTGTAAAATGTAGCTTTATTCGCACTGGAATTGTGAAATATTTTGCCAATATCAACGGCTTTTGTGTTGGAAAACTAAATTTTGAGTACTATGTGAAGATTTTTTAATACATTCCTCATCCTGAGACCCAATTTCATCAAACAATCCTAAATCCTTAATCCTAAAAATGATAAATGAAATTATTATTATTGTCAGGTGGTCAGAACTTAGCTGTGGTCAAGTTACTACAGCTCGATCATTGGCTCCACAGGGGAAGTACCACCCTCTCACAGAAAATCGGCGTGAGGTAGTATTTAGTTGTTGTAGTTGCCCTTTCGATTTTCTTACCCTTTCCTTTCCCTTCCTTTCCCAACTTTCCTCCCCCTCGTAATCAAGGGTAGCGACACATAAGAAATGTTGCAGATGTCCATGAGCGACAGTACTACCTCCATCAGGTAGGCTGTCTGATCGGTTGCCACCTTTAGTATAAAAAAATGCTGACAACAACAGCTGACGAAAACGTCATTAACTAAATACGAGTAGGAACGACATGTAATAAGTTTTATAATTAATAAAATTAAAGCGTTTCAGTTGAAAATAACTAAAAATAATTATGGTAATCATTAAATTTACTATTGTGTAATAAACTTTATAGTTTTTTTATATTTTTATGAGTGCACAATTTTTTTTATATTATTAAATTATAATTACTTATTGTTTTCTATAAATTTTATTTCTATTGATTATACATAATTAATTCATTACTTCGACTTATTTTTAAAATTATAATGTTTCGGTATTTATATATATTGAAAAAAGTTATATATTTTTTGTTTATTTGAAATTTTTATTTTTTTGTCTCGAAACATACATCATCTACATTATTTAAAAAACATTTTTTTCATGAGGTTCATTGTAAAAAAAGAATATTTATTATTTCAAGTGGGCAGCAGTATGAATCATTTTAAAGTATGCAAATTATATTATTTATTTAGCAATAAAACAGATATTTGGCGAAGTAAATAATGTTTGTGTATGTACTTCACACTAAATTTAATGTTTAAATAATTTTTGACATTAAAACTGTTAGCTTCGATAAGTTTTAATCTTCACTGGACATTTGGAGCGTTAAATATTTTCATACACAAACCTTTTCACATTATAGTATAAGAGACGAAACCTCTTAGCATTCAATATATTCACCGTGCGGGTGTCGGGTCCATCGTTACAGGGAGAGGAGCTTCAACAGTGACTTTGACTTGTGACCCAGGTGTAGGTTTAAGGGACACTAGCTAACGCGCTTTAAACACTCACCTCCACCGTCAAATTTCCTCTTCCTACCTAATCAAACTTAAAAAGAACCTAAATTATTGATTGAGAAAGGAAAAGCGCGTCATAATTAAAGTGACGGGCCGAACTTGTGCTCAATAATTATTCAATGTTTTGTCATAAAAAAGGCCATATTAATTCTGACACTTGTGTTAAATAAAGTTAAGTGTCAAATTTCCTTACCATAATTTCTTACCTTGTCATAATATGTATAATTGTCAGACACTAAAAGGTCATCCCAATTTTAATTGGAACTACATATGTTTTACAAATTACAAAAATGCATTAAAGAAATAACTTTTTTATACCATTGGGTATTCTCTTATATCATTGGGGATTTCTTTTCCAATTGAATAATACAAATTAAATTCTCGTCATGCGTCATTCGTATCATAAAAATGTATCCAAAACAAGAACTATATCCACGACACAAATTAATGGCACTAGAAAGGTCAAAGGTCAAACGAATATTTCCGAGTTCAATGATTACGTGTTTCGTCAAGTATAATTATATAATAATTTT